AAATATGAATCAGTCCCAGGCCTTGGAAGAGCTCAAAAGGGATTTTGAGAAGCAAGTAAGAGAAGTAGAGGAAAAACTGGGAAGAAAACTGAGAGTGATGCAAGAAAATCATGAAAAACAAGTCAACAGCTTGCTAAAGGAGACCCAAAAAAATACTGAAGAAAATAACACCTTAAAAAAATAGCCTAACCCAAATGGCAAAAGAGGTCCAAAAAGCCGATGAGGAGAAGAATGCCCTAAAAAGCAAAATTGGCCAAATGGAAAAGGAAGTCCAAAAGATTACTGAAGAAAATACTTCCTTAAAAATTAGAATAGAGCAATTGGAAGCTAGTGACTTTATGAGAAATCAAGACACTGTAGAACAAATCCAAAAGAATGAAAAATTAGAAAACAATGTGAAATATCTCATTGGAAAAACAACTGACCTGGAAAATAGATCCAGGAGAGAGAATTTAAAAATTATTGGACTATCTGAAAGCCATGATCAAAAAAAGAGCCTACACATCATCTTTCAAGAAATTATCAAGGAAAACTGCCCTGATATTTTAGAACCGGAGGGCAAAATAGAAATTGAAAGAATTCACCAATCTCTTCCTGAAAGAGATCCCCAAAGGAAAACTCCTAGGAATATTGTAGCCAAATTCCAGAGTTCCCAGGTCAAGGAGAAAATATTACAAGCAGCCAGAAAGAAACAATTTAAGTTTTCCAGAAGGCAAAGGAGATAGGATTACAACCAAGTATCACCTACCCAGCAAACTGAGCATAATCCTTCAGGGGAAAAATGGTCATTCAGCAAAACAGAGGACTTTCAAGCATTCTTGCTGAAAAGACCAGAGCTGAATAGAAAATCTGACTTTCAAATACAAGACTCAAGTGGAACATGAAGAGGTAAACAGGAAAGAGAAATCATAAGAGACTTGTTAAGGTTGAACTGTTTATATTTCTGCATGGAAAGATGATATTTGTAACTCATGAGACCTTTGTCAGTACTAGGGTAGTTGGAGGGAAAAAAATTATATGTATGTATAGATAGGTAGTTAGATAGATAGGTAGGTAGGTAGATAGATAGATAGAGGGCACAGGGTGAGTTGAAGATGAAGGGGTCATATCTGGAGAATAAAATTAAGGGGTGAGAGAGGATTATACTAGGAGAAAGGGAGAGGTAGAATGGGGTAAATTATCTCACAAAAAACAGAAAAGAAAAGGCTCTTACAGTGGAGAGGAAATGGGGGAAGGTGAGAGGGAATGAGTGAAGCTTATTCTCATAGGATTTGACTTAAGGAGGGAATAACATACACACTCAATTGGGTACGGAAATCTGTCTTACCGTACAGGAAAATGGGGGGGGAAGGGGACAAGAGAGTAGGGGGATGATAGAGAGAAGGGCAGATTGGGAAAGGGGGTAATCAAAAGCAAATACTTCTGAGGAGGGACAGGGTCAAAAGAAAGAATAGAATTAATGGGGGGCAGGATAGGATTAAGGGAAATAGAGTTAATTTTTCACAGCATGTCTACTATGGAAGTGTTTTGCATAACTGCACATGTATACCATATATTCAGTTGCTTGCCTTTTCAATGAGGGTGGGTGGGGAGGGAGGAAAGGAGAAAATTTGGAACCCAAAGTTTTAAAAACACATGTTTAAAAAAAAATGTTTTCACATGCAACTGGGAAATAAGAAATACAGGAAATGGGGCACAGAAATGTATCCTGCCCTACTAGAAAATAGGAGGGGAAGGGGATAAGAGGAGGGGAGAGGAAGGGAAGGAAGGAAGACTAGGGGAAGGGGTATTCCAAATGCATGCCATCTTGGGGTGGGGGGAGGGGCGAGATGGGGTGAAAATTTGGAACTCAAAATCTTGTGGAAGTAAATGTTGAAAACTAAACTAAACTAAACTAAACAAAACTAAACTAAACTAAACTAAAAATAAATGAATTTATTTTAAAAAATTTTTAAAAAAAGGTCTTGGGCAAAATATTCCTCTTCTTGTTTTGTGTCTCACTTCATGTTGAGAATAAAAGTACTTTTGAACAGTTTTGTCTATAGCTTACTTTTTATGGAATTTTGTATGATTCTTAACATAACAGAAGACACATTATAGGAGGAGAGTCTTTTAAGCCACAGTTTGCTTCAATGAGTTAATGGTCAGTTTGGTGTTTTTTGGTTTTTTTTTTGTTGTTGTTGTTTTTTGGTAATCAACAAACAGTAAACACAACCAGATCTTTCATTCTCTGCACTATTCAGTCAATTTTGTGATGGTAAGGAGATGGTCTGCTGTAGAAAATCATTTTCAAGAAACTTCCTGTTCATTCTACAATTTTCAATAAGGATACCCTCCTTAAGTGTGTATATTATGATTATAAAGATTGAATTTAAGTCATTAGTAAGGATTTACTAAACTGTTCAATAATAGGCACTTGAGGAATACAAAATAAGTAAAAGGCCTAATGTAATAATCACTGAATTTTAATTTTTTCCTTTTCTTTATTGTGAACTTAATAAACAGAAATACATTTATATAGAAAGCATGTATATGAAATAGAGGCATGCATATGAAAAATTAATATTACATAAACTTTTTTAAAAGTATGCATTAAATTTAACATGGTAGTACCAACACTGCCCTACTTATCTATGTCTCCTTGTGAACTTCCTTCTCTTCTCTATTTTTCCTGAAGATTTTTGTAAAAATTGAAAAGTGGCCAGATAGGATAGTAATTTTTAAAAAATTTAGTATCTTATGTTCCCTGAAATATCTTTTATCACTCTGCCTTAATGCTTTCATAATTAGGTTGCCTCCAGATCTTTCTTATTTCATTTTCTAAGTGCCATTTCTACTCCTTTATGTAACACTCCAGGGACTGAGGTGCATCAGAGCCTCTCTCACTGGTGAGGAAAAAAGATTGTTGTAGAAATGCCAACCAATCCGTTTCATTTTGTCTATTGATTTCCTCCTACCAGCTTCATATCGGAATGTGACTTGGTTTCATACCAAAATTTTTGTACACTTGTTTTTACCTCCATTTGTTTTTGCTATTTCTTAAGGCAATATTGTTAGTAATTTTCCTCTGTGGTGTTTGACAAATGATTTTACATTTTAAACCAGAGTTGCTTTTACCTACCATCTCTCTCTACATGGCAAGGAAGTTTTGAAATTCTTCTGGCCTACTCACTGTATCAGTTGAATTTTATAGAAAATGGGAATAGTAAATGTCAATGTTTTTTCCTTTTTTGCATTTTCCTTTTTTATCACCTTTTTTAATAGGTCAGATTGAGGCTACTGAGATTTTTTTTAACAGTTTCTTTTTGTCAATCCTTTCTTGTTTTTATGTTTATTTTTATCTTTACTCAGACTAATTAATGGTCTGATTATACATACAGATAACTTATTCTTATTCAATTCTCAAATCAGTAACTAATCATGTCCTGCCTGTTAAATAATAGTCTTAACAAACCTAATCTAAAAATCAGTTTTGCAATGTTGTTCTGTACTCATGATGCTTAGTGCTTTCTGATTTTCTTCTTGAAGAATGCATTCATGATATATAGGCTAAAGCTTCTGAGAAGTCTAATACTCTTATTACCAACTCTACTAGTGCTGCTTTCACATTGAAATCACTGAGTATCAGGGACATGTGTATATATGTATATTATGTATATATAATATATGTATATTATATGTATACTATATGTATATTATATATATAATATGTATATATATTGACTCAGTTTATAAAAAAATCTCATCAAGTTCTTCAAATAACTTTTCTACTTCTTCATCCTGTGTAGCAGATGTTGGTGCATAAGCTAAAATTATTTTCAGTGTCTTCCTTGCTTATTCCTCTCATCATCACTATAAGACAAGATAGCCAGGTATTCTCTGTAATGATACTTCTTATTGAGTCAGGGTGCATGAGAAAACCAGCTCTGCTAACTCCTTTTTTTGCTTATCCAAAGAGAACTTGTAAACTATCCTTCAAGTAAGCTGCAACTTTCTTTTTTTTTTGGAGGGGGGGGTCTGGCTTAATTTATTGAAAGATTTTCAGCATTGATTCAGCTCAGCTCTTAAAATAGAATATCAGTTCTTGGCATTAGGCAAAGATCTCCTATTTGGAGGACCAACATTAGAAATTCATCACTTTTCTTACTCTACTTTTGAAAAATAAGACTATTGTTAGTGGTGTAACACATCAAACTAAAATATATTGAGGTGTTAGTGACTACAGTGATAATTTCCTCCTAAGGATAGATTGAAGCAGGCCTGGGGCTTAATGAATGTTTCCTCCCTAAAGAGAAAGGAAATGGGGCAACTAGGTGGCACAGTAGATAGAGTACCAGCCCTGAAGTCAGGACGACCTGAGTTCAAATCCAACCTCAGACCAAACGCTTGAAGCTTACTAGCTGTGCGACCCTGGGCAAGTCACTTAACTCCAATTGCTAACAAAAAAAAAGGAAACAACAAAGATCAGAAGTTCTCAAGACAAACCTTAATTCATATCAATAAATGTTTTTCAAAATACCTTCATAGCCGTTATTTCATTTGAACTTTATAATAGTACTTTCAGGTAGATAGGATGAGTACCCTAACCCTTTTTTTTTCTCTGAAGTACAGTGAAATGAAATGAAATTCATTGCAGAAAAATGTGCTACATTTTTCATGTCTGTAGATGTTTTTATTCCTCCACTAAAACTGTAATTTCATTTTGCAGCCTGGGTGAGTGAATGACACATTCACCTTAGAGATGAAGCAATACTTTGTTTTAAGGTTGACTGGACTCTGGATGTACAAGGGGCTGTAATTCCCCCCACCCCAACCCAGTGATATGAATCTCAGCATGATTTATTTCTTTTTGAACAATCATTGGGACATTAACAGGCTAGAACATCTTCTTGCAGTAAATCAAAATCTCAAGGAGAAACACTTTCAAAAATAGACCTCATTTTTCTTATTGAAGTGACTATAACTTCTCATGAAATCCTTGTATTTTTTTTTTCTGTTAGGTTTGGAGGAGATCAACCCGTGTACATCAACATCATTAGAGATCCTGTCAACCGATTTTTATCAAACTATTTTTTCCGTCGATTTGGCGACTGGAGAGGGGAACAGAACCATATGATCCGCACACCAAGCATGAGACAGGAAGAACGATATCTAGTAAGTGCTTTTACATATAAAATCACATCATGAACTCTCTATGTTAAACTGTTACCTTATTAAGGGTAATGACCCTATCATTTCTTTCCTTCACAACCAGTCACAATGTTGGAATAATAATAATAACAACAACCCACATTTATATAGCAATAGCCCTGCAAGGTAGAAAGTTCAAGTATTATCTTCTCCATTTTACAGATGAGCAAATTGTAGCTCACACTCTGAACAACTTGCCCAATTCACATAACAGAGCCAGAACCCTGCTAGTCCAGTACACATTCTACTATGTCAAACTGCTTCTCCATGTTAAGGACACTTAGTAAGTGGTAGATATTGTTTACTGGTTTAAAATACATTACAAAACTCAATTGTTCCAGTTAACCCAGAACATAATTTACCATATTCTAAAAAAGGTGCTTTGGTTTTTTTTCACATAGCTTGTCTTGAGGATGTTTTAGGTTCAAAAGAAGACATAGGTCAACTGCAGGAAATCAGTACAGGATTGTCATCTTCATGAAAACTTGGATTTGCTTTGATGTAGACTTTGCACACAGCTGCACCATACAGTCTGTGTCTATTTCTATAATTTGCCTTTACCCTAATCTTTAAAAAGATATATTAATTACAGGAAAGAAAACTAGTTGGATATCTTAAAATTAGGCATTAATAGAAATGAAATGGCTGGAGAAGAAAATGGAAAACTACTCCAGTATCTCTGCCAAGACAACCCCAAAATGGATCACAAAGAGTCAGATACAACTAAAAAAAAATGACTGAACAAAAGAAATAGAACAGAAAGGCATTGTATTCCCTCTACTAGATTGTATTGGTTTATAAAAACAATGAGAATGAAACTTGTTAATTCAATTGATTAGAATATAATCCTACCAAGACCAACATTAGAGGTCCAAGATTTATATTTCAGTCCCATGCTTGGCCAGCAGTCAGCAGATCCTGCCTGTTGATTAAAAGGAAAATCAAATGAGAGAATATAGCTATATCAATCCAAATCCACCACCATTGCTGAAAAAAATAGCTATGTGCCCTATTGATTGTAATTCAGCAAGATGCATCATCTTCTTGGAGGAAAATAACATTATTTTTAATAAAATAAACATTTTTTACTATCTACACTTAGCTTAAAGTAATCTTAATAACACTTGAAATTGGTATAACTTTTGTACCTTTCTAAATATTTGCATACACAACTGATCCTCACAACATCCTCCTGGGACTGAGAGGGGCGGTCTTTTGTCTATGGGTTGGACAAGATGGCCATTGAGAATTTGTCCCATTCTTAAATTTTGTGATTCTGCATAAAGATCAGAATTTTGCAATGTTAGAACTCCAAGGATCTTTGAAGGTGTAATTTTATAGACTAAGGAACTGGGACTTAGAGAGGTGACCTGCTCAAAGGTACAAGCTAGTTAGTAAAAGAAGCAGCATGGCAGCTTATCTCAGCACTATCTTAGGCTTATATCTGGATAGTCTTATCTCAAGGTAGCAATTCTCCTACTAGATCATTCTCAACTTAGTAAGACCAGATTGAAATGAAATGTGTCTAAAAGAAAGAAAAGATTGAATTTTCCTATGGTATTTTTAAGAAGGAATGAGTAGCCTAATAAGTTTCACCAAGTCTATAGTATGTTCATAGTTATAGTTATACATTCAGTTTTATTCTCTTCTGGTTTTTTTTAACATTAAATAATGAACAACATAACTTTTGACACATTTGGGACCTTGAGTTAAACACACATATACATATTGATAAAAAAAAAAAACTTTCAGTACACTCCATTTTCATAAGACTTTCCTTAAAATGTTTTGCTAAATTTCTGATTTAACCATGGTATGATGTGAAATTTGAATAAAGTCATGACAGTAGCTGTATAAAAACTGAAGAAGTGGGTATAAATCTTGTAAATAATATTTCTTTAAATGTGATTAGAAACCAAGGGTTAGGGAGGGATTAACTTAGATTTTTTTTAATACTATGGCAAGCTTTTTTTTCATGTTTATTTAATTTAACATGACCAATGGCATATTCACACAGACGTAAAGTTATGAGAAAAAATTAATCAAACAGATGTGTTCAGAAACTAATAAAATTTTAGAAGGTGAGTGCCAGAAGGGTTACCCACCAACTGAGAAGTGGCTGAATACATTATAGCATGTGAGTGTAATGAAATACTATGTTGCTTTAAGAAATTATAAAGGGGATGGTTTTGGAGAAACCTGAGAAGACTTACATTAACTGATGAAAAGTGAAGTGAGCAGAACTAGGAGAACAATATAACAATCTATACAATAGCAACAACATTGTAAAGACAAACAACTTAGAAAGATGTAAGAACTCTAATCAACCAGTGACCAAGCGTGTCTTCAGAAGCATGCTACCCACCTCCTGATAAAGAGGTGATAGGCTCAGGATACAGATTAAGACATTTATTTTTTGGACATGATCAGTGTGGGAATTTGTTTTGCTTGACTATGCATATTTATTGCAAAGGTTTTCTTTTTCTTTTTCCCCCACTGGGGGTGGTAGGAGAAAAGAAAATATATTTTGTCAATTTAAAAAATTAATTAATTACACTTAAAAAAGAAAAAAAATGAAGGCCAACCCTAATGTGTTGAAAGGTAAGGGAACCACCTCTCTACAGAATGTGATTTGAGAGGCACTGGAAGGTTCTCTCCCTGTAGGCCTACCAGTATCTAAGCTTTCAGCGTTAGAGAGCCATTCCTTTGGATTGAACATTTCTGCCTCCAGGTTCTTATTTTTATTTATTTTATTTTATTTTTGGGGGGGAGGGTGAGGCAATTGGGGTTAAGTGACTTGCCCAGAGTCACACAGCTAATGAATATTATGTGTCTGAGGCCAGATTTGAACTCAGGTCCCCCTGACTCCAGGGCCAGTGCTCTATCCAGTGCACCACCTAGCTGGCCCCAGGTTCTTATTTTCAAAATGAAAATATTTTAACCCCAAAGGGAAAATACATTCTGTCCCTTATGTGATATGAATAAATTTATCAGATCAGTTTTCCTGGGGGAAAGAAAATCAGTTTGGGAAACATGGACACCTGGTTGGGGATAGATTTGGATAACGGAAGAGGTACTAAAGGTTCTCTGAAGATAAACTTTGCCTATTTCACAATTTCAGCCATGCTTGACTCTGTTGGCAATTCATTTTTCTTGTTCAAAGAGGGGTTTGTTTATTTAAAAAGGAGACAGTGAACTGCTCTTTTGGAAAACAGCTCTGAATTTTACTTTCGTCTCTCCAGTACTATTAAGTCCTTGAAAATAAAATTGTCCCCTTTCAGCTCTTGTTCTCTCTTCGGCAAGCCTGGGTGGTCAGTTGCTTGACTGAAGAGAGGGTAGTTGTTTGCATCTCAGTAGATTATAAGACAGCTGCCAGCAATATACATTGTATACTAAGTCAGGCATTCTTAGGAGAGAATGTTCGACTTAAACCATAATACAGGGTGTGACTGTAACTTTCTCTGGCTGGCTTCCTATGGGCTTATCAAATCTGTGTCTTTAGAATCATATTTTGGATACCTATGCTACAACATATGGTACACGTGGATGGATATGTTTGTATGACTTGTGCTTTGTAAAATAATGAAGTAGTTTATACCAATGCCCAAGCCTGCCTACTCATTGATTTTAGCTAGTCACCAAAATGAAACTTGTCTTGCTGCTGGTCCTGAGCCTAAAATGAAACTGTTGGTATACAGCTGAGAGGGCAAGTCTTCTCCAGGCCCTATCTTGGTGGAGAAATATCCTGCTACTGTGATGCCAAAATTCTGAGGGGAAATCATTCAAAGGCAAAGAATCATAGATTTTTAATTGTTTGTTAGATAGGAGAAAGGGACTGTATCTGTGATTTCATTGGTACAGGAAACCCCTGGGTAAGAAAACTACCCAAAATACTGTATTAACGAGTATTGGTAGGTTATGTGACTTGGCCAATGTCACACAGACAGTATATGGCAGGAAGAACTCAGGTCTTCTTGGTTTTTAGGCCAGCTACTAGAAACAATCTTAGGCATGATGTAGTCCAAATCTCTTATTTTATAAATGAAAATAAAAAAGCTATCTGAAGAGATTAAGTGAGTGACAGGACATGGATAGATCAGGATAAAACCTAAGGTTGCCTAACTTGTAGTTGACTGCACTTCCAATAGAAGTCAACAGTGTAATAGTGCAGCCAAAAAAAAAAAAAAATACCAAACTAATGTGACCTTGAGCTGCATTAAGAGAGAAGCATCACTTCCAGGAACAAAACGCTGATAGTCCAGCTGTACTCTGCCCTGGTCATAACACATCTGGAGTATTGTGTTCAGTTCTAGGTACCACATTTTAGATAGAACATTGACAAGGGTGAGAGAAGCAGCATGTTATAATGGACAGAAAACTGTCAGGCCAGGAAGACTTGAGTTCAAGCCCTATCTCTAACATATACTGGTTGTATGAATAAATCTCTTAGTGCTTTAGGCAACTCTATGAGATTTTTATGTTGAAGACCTATATTAGTAGGGGGAGTTTTTTCATCTGGGAAATGATGATTGCAAAACAACTATGAAAAAAACCAACTATGCAAGATATGATTCTAAAGGTACAAATCTCATAAGCCCTATACGAGGACAATATGAGTAGGGTACAATCATATCCTGAATCATGGTTTAAATTGAACATTTCTCCCACTAAAATGCCTCACTTAGAGTACAATGGATGTCACAGGCATCCTCTATCCCAGTGAAATCGGAGGTCCAGATCCAGTCCCTTAATGATAAATTAGAGACTGTCCAGGGGAGGGCAAGCTGGTTGGTGAAAGGCCTTGATATTCTGTCATATGAGGATCAGGAGAAGATTAAGCTTCTCCAAGCAAGACTTTCAAGTCATTCCTTTCTTTGTTCAAATCAATTTCCAAACATTCATTAATCACCTACTATGTGCCAGGTGCTGTGCTACGCACTGATTATACCAAGACTAAAAATGGT